ACTGTCATTAGCTTTATTTTCTCAAAGTATCAGCATGGCTGAGTATAAATGCATACACTTGGGAGAGGAATGGCAGATCAGGGTTAGTATGATGACCTGGTAGAAGGAGAACTAAAATTTTCTTAAAAAAAAAAAAAAGAAATGGAAAAAAAAATCATCTTGCCCCTAGGTTACTAAAAATCGACATAATTTTCTTGAGTGTCCCTTATTAGAGATGTAGTATATCATTGCTACCAAAGCCAGATTTTATATTTTTAAATTATCTAAATCAATTAGAGCAAAAATAACTTACATTTGTCTACCATTTTATGCATGACAATGTGCTTCCAAATACGTTTGAGTCTCATAACACTATAGGCAAGTATTACTGTTCCTTATTTAGGATGAGGAAAAGAAGACTGAGAAAGCTACCAAACTTTCTAAATTCTCAGTAAAATACTTTTTGTGTTGTTTGCTAGGCCCAGGGTTCTTAAAACTGGGCAGGGATCCCCTATGGAACCAGTGTTTAAATTTCAAGGGCTCCAAGAATGTGGATGGGAAAAAAATTTACACCTCATTCTCACTAACCATTAAGTGAAATTTAGTACTTATGCAGGCAACAAATAACAGCTCGTCCAAAGGGTCCATAAGCCAAAACTGTGGTTAGCTTAACTGTGGTTAAGAACCCACAGTCCAGACTTACATTTTAATCACAGTCGGAAACTCCCAGTATAAGGTACTCCCAGTGTGGAAACTCTTCAAAAATACCTTTAGGCAATGCTCTCAGGATTGTGTAGAGTGCCAAGAAGTCACAGGAACACAGGTTTAGAATCAGAAGAGACCTCAGAGGTCAACTAGTGTAACCCCCCTCATTTTCCAGATGAGATAACTGAAGCGGGGGCACCAGCCCTGGAGCAGGAGTACCTGAGTTCAAATCCAGCCTCAGACACATACTAGCTGTGCGATTTTGGGCAAGTCGCTTAACCCCAATTGCCTCAAAAAGAGAGAGAGAGAGAGAGAGAGAGAGAGAGAGAGAGAGAGAGAGAGAGAGAGAGAGAGAGAGAGAGAGAGAGAGAGGGAGAGGAGAGAGGAGAGAGAGAGAGAGAGAGAGAGAGAGAGAGAGAGAGAGAGGAGAGAGAGAGAGAGGAGAGGGAGAGAGGGAAGGAGGAGAGAGAGAGAGAGAGAGAGAGAGAGAGAGAGAGAGGGAGAGAGGGAGAGAGGAAGGAGGGAGAGAGAGAGAGAGAGAGAGAGAGAGAGAGAGAGAGAGAGAGAGAGAGAGCGAACTGAAGCCCACAGAGGCTAAATAACTTGTCCATGACCACACAGCTAACAAGGGTCCAAGGGAAGCTTCAAGGCAAGAAACTCTATCCCATACACCATTAGACTGTGAGCTCCTTGAGAGCAGGGACTGCCTGCCTCTTTTTGTATCCCTAGTGGTTAGCAGGGTGCCTGGCATATAGAAACCTCTTAATAAATGTTTATCGGTTGATTGATGCTGCCTAACAAATCAACTTAAAATGACAAGGTGCCTGCCTTCTGAGCATTTACCATCCAAACACTTACTGGTTATATAAACAAAGGCCAATAATAAGTGTAGAGAAAACTGGATTTTAAGTCTGAGGACCTAAGTTTGAATCACTTCATATAGTTGTCTCATTTCCCTCATCTATAGAATGAGGGATTTGAATTAGATGATCTCTGGGGTCCCTTTCTGAACAATATTCTATAATACTATTAACCTATCTGAACTTGTCCTCTCATCTGAAAAATGGGTAATAATATTCACACTCCATATGTCCCAGGATGGTTTTGAGGAAGAAGCTAGATAAATTTTTAAATGCTACATAAATGTGTTGGCATAGGTGGCACAATGGACAGAGCGCTGGGCCTGGAGTCAGGAAGATTCATTTCCCTGAGCTCAAATTTGGCCTCAGACACTAGCTATGTGACCCTGGGCAAGTCACTGAACCCTGTTGGCCTCAGTTTCCTCATCTGCAAAATGAGCTGGAGAATAAAATGGCAAACAACTCCAGTATCTTTGCCAAGAAAACCCCTAATGGGAACATGGAAAAGTCAGGCACAACTGAAACGACTGAACAAATATTTAATAAAACATCAGGTTTGAAGAGATAGTCTTCCATCCTCTTCTGCCTCTTCACGATTCTCAATCAAATCAGCAGTCTTTTGGAGAGTCTCTAAAACTCTTAAAGTAATTGAGAAGAAACATGCCTTTTAAGGTTTTTGTTCGTTTGGTTTTTTGCTTTTTGCCTTTTAAGTTTTAGCTGACTCCTTAAAATTAGCATTATTTCCTGGGAATAGGGATGGCAATTAGGCTTAGGGAATTCCAGGAAGAGGAATTTTCTTCTGCCAATGTAGGTCAGCACTTTCTCTAAACCTTAAGAGTAGACCAGAGCACTGATAAGTTATTGTCCACTTATACATGTGAACAATATGTCAGAGAGGCAGTCCTGGTTTTGGAGGGAGCTCTCTACCCACTATACCTCTTGGTATAATTTCATAGGATCCTAAATTAAGAGCTAGGAAGGGCCTCCAAGGTCATTTAATCCAACACTTCAATCTGCATCTTAGAGATGAGAGAAATGAGCCCCAGAGAGATGAAGAACGCATCCATGATCACATAGGGAGTAAGTAGCAGAGCTTTGATTCCACAGCTTTCTATTAAACCATGCCTTGTCTCAGCTAGTACTGGTGACAAACTAAGTCACAGAAACTGCCTTTTCACCATTTGAATTATGATTTTTGGGAAACTATAAACACATACTTTGTTATTCATTTCTTTTAAGAAATTACTTATTTTCCCCCAAAACCAAACTCTGTAAGATTATAAATTGCAGATGAAATGATGATCTGTATAAAACTGAAGTCCTAAGTTGGGGGGGGGATATTTCAGGCTGTTTTCAGTGCTCCCAAGATTTAGCCACAGTTTCTCAAAGCTTTTTCACTTCCAGATCCCAACTCTAAACATATTAATTGCTCTGAAAAAAGTTTCAAACTAATCCAAGGTGAGGCAATAGGAAGTCAGTAGGCAGAAACAATATTGAGTAATCAGAAAGTTGGAACGTTTTTCTTTTCACTCTGTGAAAAAAAATAATTACATGTTTCATACATTTTCCTTGAGCAAATACTATAAATTATATATAACAATAAGAGTATAACTACAGCTAAGGCTAACCAATAAATATCTGAAAGCTGGGTCCTCTTCTCCTTTCACTATATTTTATTTTCTTTGGTGATCAAAGTTCCCTTTGTCTCAACTGCTATCTCTATGCAGATAATTCCCAGGACTATCTCCAGCCCTATTCTCTTTTCTAAGCACCCTTCCTGTATCACCAACTGCCTACACTTCAAACTGGATGACCTGTAGACATATCCAAAGCAATATGTCCAAAACATTGCCTTTCTCCCCAATCTTCCCTTCCTCTGAACTTCCTTATTCCTGGAGAATGTTCCACCATCCTCTCATTTTCCCAGGTATCCAACCTCAGCATCCTCCTGGATTCTTTCCTTTTACTCACCTCACATAATCAATCTGTTTGCAAGTCTTAATATTTCTACTTTTATAACATCTCTTGTATACATCCCTTTCTCTCCACTCACAAAACCACCGCCCCAGTTCAAACTTTCATTGTTTAATGAGTCTCACTGCCTCAAATTTCTCCCCACTGGAATCCATCCTTCACAAAGTTGCCAAAATGATTTTCCTAAATGGGAGGTCCGATGCTCTGCTCCTCTGCTTAATAAACTCTAGTAGTTCCTGTTGCTTCCAGAATCAAATATAAAGTCTTCTGTTTGGCATTTCATGCTCTCTGAAACTATCCCCTTCCTACCTTTCCAGATCATGACCTACGACCTACATGACATGAAGATGTACTATATCCAGGCCTTTCCACCAGCTATCCCCTATGCCTGTAAAGGTCTTCCTCCTCACCTCCACCTCTGGACATGACTTACTTCTTTCAAGACTCAGATCAAACACACCTTCTACAGAAGTTCTTCTCTGCCCCTCCCCACTCCCCCCAACACAATTAAGCCTTCTCTTTATTTTATATCGTCCTATTTACATGTAGTCTCTCCCATCATTAAATAAGCTTCTTAAGGTCAGGGGCTGATTTTTGCCTTTCTCTGTATGCCCACAGCTTAGCACCATGCCTAACACATACTGAGTTCTTAGTAAAGGCTTGCTGACTGACTGAAAATTCATCCCATTTTGAAAAATAGGATCAACCAAGTTTCTAACTAAGCAATTCAGACATACCGAGATGTAGATGCTCTCTACTTGACCTGTTTCTACTGACTATATGTTGAATTACGAATAGAATGGTTTTTGGGGGGAAAAATCAGTCAAACTCATCTGTTAAGTATTCTCTTACCCCCACAAGCTTGTGAAGCCCCAACTTTCACAAAAAGTAACGATAACAAACCTGCCCCCTCACTTGAAAACACAAAATCAGAGGTGGCTAGAATGGATTTGGAACTGAGACCTGAAAGAGGTCCATCTCAACCCACCCCCTCATCTATAAGATGAAGGGTGAAAGCCAGAGACTCTATAGCCCCAGTCACAAAAGTATTAAGTGGCCGAGTCAGAATTCTAACCCACTTCCTCTACACCAAATCCTTTCCACTGCGCCACTGAGAGAGTTTTTGTCCCTAGCAGACGAAGAAACTGAGGCTCAGAATCGGAAACTGACTTGCCCACGGACATGCAGGCAAGCTAACGAGGAGCGCTGAGATTCTTCGGGCTCCAAATCCCATGCTCCTTCTTGCCTCATCCTACCTTTCTCTTAATTAAAAAAAAAAAAATTAAAAAGTTGTGCACAACTCAAGACTGGTCGCGACGGCTCTGACCGTGGCAGCGGTCACTCACTGGTCACTGTGGCCAGCGCCGCCGGCCCAGCCTCCCCGGTGGTATTAGGCAGGAGACCAGAGTGCCCGGAGCACGGGGGCCCGCCAGTGGAGGCAATGCCAAGGGCGGGGACGCCGGGGGCGAGGGGAAGCCCTACCTGTTAACCTCCAGCGCTCGGGATACGCCAAGCCCAGGAGCTTCTTGGCCTCGGATCGGCCGGCGGCCGGCTGCGGAGAATTGTCGCGGACGTCGCCGCCACTTCCCGCCGCGACAGTGGCCGAGCCCTCGCTCCCGACCCGGGCAGCAGCGGCTCTCTGAGCCGGCCTGTCTCCCGCGCCGGTCGACCTGCACCTGCGGCTGCCGGAGGGCCCGGCGCGGAGCCCCAGGAGCCGCGCGAGCCGCGCTGCCTGCCCCAGGGACGGCGGCGGCCCGGGGGCGGCGCTGGGACCGCCGCTGCAGCAGCGCGGACGCCCCAGCAGCGGGGAGCGGGCCGCGGCCAGAGCCCACTGGGAGGAGCAGCCGCGCGCGCGCCGGAGCAGCAGCAGCAGCAGCAGCGGGGGGACGCCGCCGCCGCCGCCACCGCCGCGGGCGGGGAAGCTCGCCATGGGGCCCAAAGTGCCCCGGCCTCGGGACACCCGCCCCCCACCCCGGGGAATGCAGCGAGCGTCACTAGCGCCCGCGCTGCCCACTCCGTAGCTCCTGCTTTTGTGCAGAGGGGCCGGTCCCCCCACCCCACGTCTGCCCCCGGGGCCCCGGGCGGCGTAGCAAGCTGAGCCAGTGCAGGAACAGCGGCGGAGGCAGCGGCTGGCTACTGAGGCGCTCCAGCGCTAGGGGCTGGTGCGCTGCTCCTCCGGCCCCGCCCGCCGCCTCCCGCTGTGCCTGCCCTTGATAACTCTGCTCCGAGTTTCTGCTATGTCATCCTTCCTTATCTAAGACCCGGGAGCCACTCCGCAAGGCGCAGCCTTCCCAGGGGGCTCCCCATTTCCCTCTCCCCCACTCCTCACTCTGCAGTCGACACCCCAGTCCCAAGTATTACTCGGGCCTTGTAACCCAATGTCTTCGGTCCCACGGCCCCCATAAATCTGAGCTATGCGCCTACGCTTCTCACACCCTAGCCCACAGACTGCATTCTGCTCTCCTTAGCCTTGTGTCCCCATCGCCGGTGCACGCCGTCCCCTATGTTCATCCCTTCTTTTCTACCCAACTTCGGAGTAAATTCTGACTCGGTCTTCAACCGACAACCACCAGCATCCTAGTTCCGTCGGCCAAAACACGTGCTAGTCCATGCGCTTCCCTAAGGAGATCACGTCAAGACCCATCTGCTCTCCACCTCCTCTGTCCCCTCTCCACCCCTAACATTCATTCTTCTCCATTCCCCGAGGCCTAAGAGCACCCACTACCTACTCCCTCTCTCCTGAATCTGTACCCTATCTCCGACTGTGCCCGTAACAGCCGACAACTATAAGTATATTCCGAAAGTAATCCACCCCTTTCCGAGGTCCCCCTTATCCTCCTGGTCCCCCGCCGCCCACCCCGACACAGCTCCCTACAGCGCCCCCTGCTGTTTCCAATAGGGCTTCGGCCTCAAGAGAGACTGTTTATTCCACCAGGCGCCACTAGAGGCATTAAACCAAGGGCCCGGGCTGAAGAGCAGAAAGAAGCGCGGGGAAAGTTTGGGATTGAATTCTGCTACTGCGCGGTACAAACTCTGGGGAGCTTTTTCGCGCTCCTCACCAGGTTCACCACGCCCCCTTGTAATCTGGGAACACTTGGGCGAGCCCTTTCTCACGCCGGCGGCCAAAGAAATACGGCCAGACTCGATCAGACGATGCCAAGTGAAAGGATGAAGGGAAGCTGCCGCGAGGGCCGCGGGAGCACAGCCTTTATGTCACGCCGCCGAGCCGGTGCTGCTGCACTGACAATGTCGTTTCCCCCTAGGTCCACAACTAATGCCAGACATTCAAAGAATGAAGTCCAGTGGGCAGAGCGCCTGGCTAACGGTGGTGATGACGGCGATGATAGTCATAAACAACTAACATTTATGTAGAGTTTCATGTGTGTGGCCACAGACACATTCTCTCATCCTCACGAGAACTCTGTGAGGTAGACGCAGGTATTATTATCCCCGTTTTACAGATGAGTAAACTGAGGATTAGAAACTCATTTGGTCCTCAGGAGAACCCTGTGAGGTATACACAGATATCAGAAGGCCCAAGTGGCTTTTTCAGGCTCTCGCTGCTAATTAAGTGGCAGAACTTAGAATCAAACGCTGGTCTTCTGGGTGCAAATACACACCTCTTGACACGATATCGCCTCTGCCTCCTAACCCTGCCAGCCCCTACTCCATCTCCCACTAGTTCCCAAAGAAACCAGAAGGCCTGCTCACCCTGGTCCTCTTACCATACCCGGAAGACCTTGCTCATTTTTGTCTAAGGGTTTTAGAAAAGTTTAGAGCAGAAAGAGTTCTGCGTTTTGAGGCAGAATAAGAATGGCACCAGCTGACAGAGATGATATAGCTCTTTCGTTTTACATACATTATCTCATTCAGTCCAGATCCACTCTACAACCTTGTGAGATGAGCTCTAGGGATATTATCACCATTTAACACTTCAGGAAACTGAGACTGAGAACTTAAATAACTTGCAACGCAGTAAGTGATAGAAGTAGAATTTGAAACCAGGTCTTCCTAAACTCAGCCCCTTTCGAGATACAGAAGCAGTTTGTCAGGTTGTAGCCGTGGAAATCATGGGGGGTTGCTGTGAAGTCTACTGCAACTCTGCCAAGATAGAAACCTGGTTCTATGTCCTGACTCTAATAGCAGTTGTGTAACCTCTCTGTGGGTCTCAGCTTCCTCATCTCTAAAATGGGGATAATAATCAAATGACATACTATTTGCAACGTGCCTGGCACAAATTAAGTGCTATATAAATGCTGGCTATTCTCATTAGTAATGCCAGCAGGAGTACCTACCTCATAAGGGTGTTGTGAAGGTCAAATGAGACTTCATGTAAAGTGCTTTGTGGAGCTTGAATTGCTACTTACACCCATATCCATGGTCAGCTGTGTCTATTATTATCATTCTGACTTAGAGTCTAGAAATTTTTCTACACTGACTCCAGCAGTGATTTAGGAAACACAGTGGAAGATGTGATGGGAGAGTAAAGGCTGAGAAGCAGCTGGGATTGAATAGAAAGAGCCTGGGATTTGTACCTAAACTTGAATCTAAGTTCTGTGAATGCCTAGGTGACTGAGGCTATGCAAGTCATGTAATCTCCTTAAGGCTGTTTTCTCATCTGAAAAATGGGCATGATAATTCTTACACTAAAAAATTGTGGCATAGTGGATAGAATACACAAATGGGCAAGTCACTTAAACTCCTGGTGTCCCAGAATAAGAAGAAAAGGGAAGGAGTTTCTATACTGATGAAATAGTAGGTCTGAAACATCACTGATCCACTACCTCTCTGCATCATGCTTCCCCCAGGATAAACTCAATAAGAGAAATCTCACCTGCAGGGTGACTGCTTCAGCTTTGGTACGAAAACTCTCTCAGTACTCTCAGTTGCCTCTCCTCTCTAAGTAGAGGGCAGAACAAACAAAAACCTCCCCCAAAGCCTCCCTTTATAGAGGGCTCAGAATTTTCTAGCCATCTCCCATTTTCCATTAGCTTCTTGCTGACTTCACCAATATCATGGCCCTGAGCTTCACACTATCTGGTCTGGTCCCCTCCCCCTTTTCAACTTCCTTTTGTGTATTGTCTTCCCCAACAAGATTTTAAATTCCCTAAGGACAGGGATAATCTTTCTTCTCCTCATAATATCTATATTTCCAAGCCCTTTGCTGGTACCTGGCACTTAGTAACTTCTTAATAAAAGCTTATTAACTATTGACAATCCCTGCTCCCAAACCTTTCTTTGCAGGATTTAAAAGTTGTGTTATACAAAGATGACCTATCATTTTTGTGGGACCTGAAAAGACAAAAGAGAATCTGGCCTTTAATTTATAGGTAGAAGGCTTCTCTCCCTCTGCAGTGCAGGTAACTGTCTCAACTCTTCTGATGTGTGCATACCCTTTGATCCAGCAATACCACTATTAGGTCTGTATCCCAAAGAGATCATAAAAAAGGGGAAAGGACCCGCATGGACAAAAATCTCTATAGCATCTCTTTTTGTAGTAGCAAAGAACTGGATATTGAGGAGATGCCCGTCATTTGGGGAATGACTGAACAATAACAGAATACTATTGTGCTATAAGAAATAACGAGCAGGCAGACTTCAGAAACACCTGGAAACACTTGTATGGACTGATGTTGAGTGAAGTGAACAGAACCAGGAGAACATTGTACATAGTAACAGCCACACTGTGCAATGACTAACTTTGATAGACTTAGCTCTTCTCAGCAATGCAAGGATCTAAGACATGTCCAGAAGTCTCATGATGGAAAATGCTATCCAAATCCAAAGAAAGAACTACAGAGTTTGAATGCAGGTGAAATGCTCTTTTTTTTCCCTCTTCTGTTTTACTTTGTTCCTTCTTTCTTGTGATTCCTTCTTTCTTGTGATTCCTTCTATTGGTTCTAATTCTTCTTCATAACATGACTAATGTGAAAATGTGTTTAATAGGAATGTATATGTATAGCCTATATCAGATTGCACGCTGTCTTAGAGAGGGAGGCAGATAGGGAGGGGGAGGAAATTTAAAACTCAAAAGCTTATGGAAGTGAATGTTGAAAACTAAAAATAAATTAATTTTTTAAAAAATGATGAGCAGGTGGATTTCAGAAAAACCTGGAAAGACTTACATAAACTGATGCTGAATGAAGTGAACAGAGCCAGGAAAATATTGTACACAGTGACAGCAACATTATGCAATGATCAACTCTGATAAACTTAGCTCTTCTCAGCAATACAATGATCCAAGACAATTCCAAAAGACTCAAGATGTGATATGCTATCCACATCCAGAGAAAGAACTATGGAGCCTGAATGCAGATCAAAGCACACAATATTTCCTCTCTTTTTTTTTCTTTCTCTTGTTTTTCCCTATTGTTCTGATTCTTCTTTCACAACGTGACTAACGTGGAAATATGTTTAATATGATTGTACATGTATAGCCTATATCAAATTGCATGCCATCTTGGGAAGGGAGGAGGGAAGGAAGGCAGAAAAAATTTTGGAACTCAATATCTTATAAAAGTGAATTTTGAAAACCATATTTATATGTAATTGGAAAAAAATACTATTAAGAAAAAAATAAAATCTTCTGATGGATGCTTCATTCTAACATGGAGTCAACCTTGGGTTCTGGAAAATTATGCCATCAGAACACAAGCCCTACTAAGGTCCAACCAAGTCAGAAATTCTTCAAGTATAAAGTGGGCAAAGTCTGAGAAACAGCTGAGTTAGGTTCGGAGTGGTTTAATGTCAGGAGGTTGACTAGCAGGGATGATTTTTTTTTTTAGCCAAAACAAATTGTGAACCTTCCACCTGGAGTGTTATGATCTATGGTCACTGATTCCTCTAATTAGTGTTCCCATTTCTTTTCCCTCTTAAAAATGATGTTGCCTTTAGTTATCTATGTACTGTTTCCCTACAATAAAATGTAAGCTTTTGAAGAGCAAGGGACTGAAGTATCTTTTTTTCTTTTAAATTCCTAGGCTGGCTTAGCAGTGCCTGATACTTAATAAACATTTACTTTATAA